GGTAATTCCCTAGCCTTCCTGGCTCCCCTCTCCCATCTTCAGCCATCCTTATAGTTGCTAGTTTCTCCTGATATCTAAAATTTATCTCTTTCTGTATCAACTAAACCTATTGCCTTACCTTCACTGAGCATTAGAAACAATTTAATCAATCTTCTTTAAAAGAGTCCAGCACATCTGGTGGATTTTGCTTGCATCCATCCTCATATCTCTTTTCTAATGGTGGGGAAATGAGTCCCTGTGTACCCCACCATGGGAAGCTCTGAGCTTCCAGGTGAAGAGGGGAAGAATGGGAGGCAATGTTCTGCTTCTCAGCTGGGGAAGAGCTTCCTGACAGTGGATGCTCTAAGATAGGTCCCTTCTCCATAGGAAGTGAAGACTGGGAAGGGGTTAGGTAGGAGAAAGGACAGAGCAGAAAGCAGTGCCTGATGGAAGGCTGGGACAAACTCTAAGAGGTTATAGAGGGAAGGTGGAGCTCAGGGCACTTTCAAGGAGAGAGGTCTCATTTTTCAAATCTGTTATTGCTTTCTGTCACTTTATAGCAGTCTTTGGAGTATTAAAAAAAAAAAAAGGGGAAATGAAAATGTTTCCCTCTGCTCCTTGGGGAGGGGGGTCCTTTGCAGGCTGCTGCAGGAGGTGGGACCTGGCTGCTGGGCACACTCCATGCATGGAACAGCTCCTGTGTTACAGCTCAGCAGCCAGGGCTTCCTCCCTCTTTGCTGGACTGATTTAGACAGGATCATGGAGACTAGACGCCACGTAGTAGTTTTTAGAGTTTGTAGAGAGGGAGAATAGCAGGCAGGGCTCTCTGATTTTTCCCTTAGCCATCATTTCCAGGACAGCGGGTGGAAGCCTGCAATCTCCTACTGTCCTTCAGAGACCTCTCTCTGGGTTTGCTATTTTATGCTGAATCCCTACACTGAATTTACTACTCTGCAAGTTCTCTTGATGCTTTATTTTTCATTCCCTGCAGACTTCTTTCCCTTTTTTTCCCTGTGAGGCTCCAATTCCTCTTGCTGCTTTGTGGTAATTGGGGGTGGTCTCCTCCTTCCTTCCTCACTCCTTTTGCAGTTATCCCAGCTATCTCTATTTACTCTTGCTATCCCCTTTCTCCTGCTCTTTATTAACACCTATGTTTCTCTTGCATGCCACCCTGTTCCTCTTCTGTATTCCCACCCATCCTGTTTTTCAGTGCTCTGCACCATGTAAACCCCCATGAATCTTGCTCCCTGAGGTTTCTTATAAGAATTAAAGAAGTCCTTGGTGCATTTGCAGTTATTCGTCTCTTCCTATTGCTGACTCTGTCCCTCCCCCCACCTGAGTGGAATCTAAATAATTTAATTTCCCTAAATAGCTCCTCTCTGCCTGTGTGCCTGACTCTTGCCCCAAGCCAGCTCCTGCCAGGCAGGTAGTTGCTGGAGCAGTGGCTTCCCTTCCAGGTAGACACCCCTGGCTGCCTCATGCATGGCCTAGCAGGATTTTGCCATCAGCCCTTCCAGAGGGTCAGCATCCTTCCTGAAGCAGGTGTGAGAACCACCAGAAGGCACTGCCAGAGCCAGGCAATGCCCCCAGGCTGCCCATGGAGCCACAGTTAATACCTTCCAGGTTTGCATCTTCAGCACTGTAATGCAAGTGTTACAAAAATTATTTCAATTCCAGTTCAAATTTGTTTATTAACTGTCCAAACTAAATGAAAAGCGAAACTTTTCATGGTTCCTGACTGCCAAAACCTCCCAGCCAGAGACAGGTCTCCAAGACAATCTCTCCCTAAGCTTTATAGGATGAGGGAGGAAAAGAGGCGGCTGCTCTCCCTGACCCTCCCCTAACCTCCACTTTTTGGAACCTCCCTCTCCCCATGAATAACTCCAGTGTCTGCCACTGGTGCTGGGCAGAGCTTTGCCAATCATCCTCCTCTGCAGGAAGTGGACATGATTTTGATAGTGTCACTCTACCGCACATGAGACACTAAATAGCAGCAAGAAAACTGAGCAGTTTTGTTAATCTCGCTGGTGTTTGGCAACCTCTCAGCAGCAGCCACAGAGGCACTACAGCTGTCTGTCTGCAGCCCCAGGAATACAATGCTGCATTATTTTATATTCCGCAGATCATCTTTCCAATCATAAGGTCTGGAATGTTTTATATGTTTACTTCTCCGTGAGGAAAGCTTCCTACTGTCACTAATCAGCGGATTTTTCAAGACCCACTGTCCTGTGCATTACAGAGATAAATGAATTGATACTTACAAAGCACTTGGGGGTCCTAAGGTGGAAATACAAAATATGTGTATGTTTTGGAAACAACCTTGGAATAAGTTACATGGTAGGTTACTGTGTCATTGCCAGTGATGCAAGTCCAACCACATTCTCCACCCAAATCTTCCTGAAGGCTCATTTTTTTTCCTCTGGTCTTCACAGATGTTAACTCACATTGATCCTGTTCTCCCCTCTCCAATATTATTTTGGTGGAGAAAAAGTAAATAAAATAATAAACATTTAAAAAAGACAATGAAGCATTTTAACAGTGTCCCTCAGAGTGTTCAACCTGTACTGTCTTAAAAATAACATGTTTAAAATTATAGTAATGCACTGGTAGCAAACCAAGAGATGTTATCTTTTAGTGAGTCCAACACTGAGCTCTTGTTTCTTATTTTTTTCCCCCTCTTGTTTTTAATTAGGATTAGTAGTGTGCCTAGGTTGGGCAATAATGGAACATAAAACCTGTGTCAGGTAACTTGAAATTGTTAGTTAGTTCCCCCTTTAAAGTATTTGCCCCCTAAATGGGATAGAGAGCAGGTGCTGGGAAGGAGCAAAACATCCCTGAGTCTGGGCAGTGTGGCAGGTGGCTCTGGTAGCCCAGCTTTGTCCAGGTTTCTCAGGAGGTGCAAGGGGAGATGGCTGGGGTGCTGCCCCAGCACCGCTGCTCCCACTGGCTCTGCACTCCTGCCGTCACTGCCAGCTGCAGTACCACCTCTGCCTGTCATTATTTATATTTCCCTGCTGCACCAGCCCTGCTGCCTCCCAGGGCACCTCCACCCAAATGATGACTTCAGCCCTGTGGAATGAAGAGTGGGTTATTCTGGAGAAGCAGCTCAGCCTGGACCGGTGGCAGCAGGAGCTGGGATGCTGCACAGCTCAGCTCCCAGGGGCAGCTCCCAAGGCTCTGGTGCTGAGTGCGTTGCTGTGCCCAAGCACAGGGCCAGGACACAGGACAGGATCCTGAACCAGCTCAGGAAATGGGGTGGGTGAATGGTGGTTTGGCAGAGCTAATGGGCAGAGGATAAATTTACTCAGAGTTGCAGCCCATCTAACAAAAGATACTGTTGCAAAGTATTGTTATAACAAAGGTGTAGTGGTTCCTCTCCGGGAAGGAGAGGATGTGTACTGGGATGTGGAAGAACAGTCGTGAGAGAAGGGGAAGAAAGGTCAAATGAGGATGGCACTGACCTGAGCTGTCAATACCTTGCTTTAGGCAGTGAGAGGGTACAGGGGGGACCCATGCTGGAAGGAGCAGAGACAGGGATGCCTGTGGGAAGTATTTGGCATCACAGTAGCTTATGCCTGGAATCCAGTGATACCCTCTTGACATGAGAAGGGGTTACAGCACTGACACCAGAGGTTTTGAGCACTGCTCTGTTCTGATTTGCCACAGATGCAAACAAATGCCTTCTCCCAGAAAGATGCTTGGCACAGTCAGGCAAAGTTTCAGCTCTCCTCTTGACTCCAACTTTACAGGTATTTCATTTGTTCCTTGCTGAGCTCCTCCAGCCACCCGGGCTAGGTTGCCCAAGAGCAGAGGCAGAGTGCACAGACCTGCTCGAGAAGCAGCATGTGAATGAACTTGTGTGGCAGTGGAACTCGAATGGAGCTCGGCACGAGTCTGTCAGCCTGAATGAGTAAGAAACTGCGCGGTGCCTTGGGGACCAGCCTACCCCCTTCCCAGTGAGCCGCAGGCAGAGAAGAGCGGCCGGGCTGTGCATACCTGGTGCTGCGGGGCTCTACGGGGCTCCGCGGTGCCCGGCAGCAGCTCTGCCCCGGGTCCTGCAGCCTGGGCACTGCCGTGCGGGGCAGCGAGCGGCGAGGCCAGGAAGCCCCTGACCCCTGCAGGGTCCCCGTGGGCTGCCAGGGGACACGGAGGTACCAGGGCTCTGAGAAGGCGCCTCGACTCCCCGCGGCCCGGTCGGGATCCCGGGGTGAGCAGGGCAGTCCTGGTCCCGACCTGGAAGCGCCCTCGGCGGCGGCGAAACACCGGGAGGAACAGGGCCGGGGTCTCCGGGGTCCGCCGCAGCGAGCCCGAGCGCACCGGGCCGGGCCTGGCTCCGTCACCCTTTGTCCACCGCCCCGGGGCAGGTGCGGGCAGCGCGGCCAGGGACAAAGCGGCTGCGAGCTCCGGGGCTGCTCCTGCCGCCGCCAAGCCCGGAGCTCTCCCCCAGCGCGGTGCGGGCGCGGCTCCCGGCACTCGGCCCCCGTGCCGCCGGCGGGTTTTATGCGCAGGGCGGCCGGCGGGCCGGCGGGGGTGGGAGGAGCCGGGCAGGTTGTGCCCGCCGGGCCCTCCTCCCTCGCTCCCTCCCCGCCCGGCGGAGAGGGGTCGGGGGAGGGGGCAGCATGGCCTGTCCGTCCGGCCCCTTTTCCAGCGCTCATCTGCCCCGGGAGTGCGGCGCCGCTCCTCGCAGGGAGAAGAGGTCCGAATGGAGACAGACGGCAGCCAGCCCGGCCTCGCCTCCCCGGACTCCCCGCACGACCCCTGGTACCTCCACAGCGGCCGCCACCGGCCACCCCCACCGCCCCCCCCGGTCCGGCCGCGGCCGCCCCCTCCCCCGGCCCCGGCCGCCCGGCCCGGGCAGGCGCGGCGGCGGCGGAGGCAGCGGCGGCGGCGGTGCCGCTGCCAACATGGCCGATCCGCGCCCTCCCCTCCCCGCGCGGCCCCGCCGCCGCTGCCGCCACCCCCGCGGGGTGCCGCGGCCCCCCGGCGCGGCCCCGCTCACGGCTCTCCCCTTCCTCCCGCAGCAAAATGTTCATCGGGGGACTGAGCTGGCAGACCACGCAAGGTGAGCGTCGCGGGGCCCCGCACCTGCCGCCGGGGCCGGGGGTGGCGGAGCTGGGGCTGAGCCCGGGGGGGGTGCGGCGAGGCCGGGACGGGACGGGACACCCACGGTGGGTGCTGTACTTGCAGAGGGCTTGCGGGAGTACTTCAGCCAGTTCGGCGAGGTGAAGGAGTGCCTGGTGATGCGGGACCCGCTGACAAAGAGATCCAGGTGAGAGGCTGGGCCCGCGCCTCCCTTCGCCCCCGCCGCGGCCCGACCGCCACTTTAACCAACTTTCTCTCTTCTCTCCGCATCCCCTCTCCTGCCCGGGCTGCGGGGCTCAGGGGCTTCGGGTTCGTCACGTTCATGGACCAGGCTGGCGTCGACAAGGTCCTGGCCCAATCCAGACATGAACTGGACTCCAAGACGGTGAGATGACTTCTCTCATCTCAGGGGTGCATTTACCGGTGGAACGGCTGTGCTCGGAGCAGCCGTCGATTGTAGTGTTTGATTTCCAGTTAGAGGTTGTAAACTATTGATTCCTGATACGGATCGATCGTTCCCTTCTCTGTCCCACTTGCCGGCGGGTAGCCTAGCTGCCGCCCGAGCACAGGGCTCACCGTGTGCCGATTCCTGGTGTGGGTCTGTGGATCCCGGTGATGGTTTTCTTCTCGCTCGTTGGTTGTAAGGCCCATCTCAAGGCCCATCCCGGCAGTGACTGTAGCTCTCTCGAAGCTGGGATACCTGAACACGTTTGGGATGAGGATTTGCCCCAGGAAATAAGACATGGCTGCGTTCCGAGAGAGGGAAGCCGCCCTTTCATCCTGTGTGCTGCTGAGCACTGATCCTTCCTCAGGGGTGCTGTTCCCCAGCGCCCAGGCCCTGCTTCCCTGGCCATGGTGGCCTGTGCATCCCCCCTTCCCGGCAGAGAGCCCTCATTCTGTGCACCCCAGAGACTCTCTTGTGGTCTCCCCAGGTGAAGTTTTTGTATTGGTCATGGAGGTTCAGGACTTTATTGTCTCCAAGTGTGGCCAGTGTCTGCCCGTGTGGGCTACCACCAGCTTCTTGGAGCGGCTGTGGCTCCAGCCCTCACTTTGCAAGTTTGGGTGATGAGGACCCCCAGGTGGGCCAGCAGAAAGATTTGGTGGCTCACTGGACTAGTGGCGTAAGGTGGTGGGTCCTGCCTTGTGGATCTGTGGTGCTCAGGAGATGTGCAGACTGTTTTGAGGGGTGGGGGTGAGATGTCTGAGTGGGAGGTCCCTTCTCTTTAGTTTCAGTGACTTGCCTTCCCCTGAATTCCTTTTCCTTATTGCTGCCCTGGGGTGAAGGTGAGGGTAGGGATGGGGGAGTGGCCGGGGCTGCAAGGGGATGGCATGGTGAGGGGGCATATTCTGGCTCCAGGCAAGGGCTGCTGAGGAGTCCAACTGCAGAGTTTTATTTCTTGCAGTGCGTGGCCCAGGCGTCCTAGTCTTTATCTTGGCAGAAGGAGAGGGCGGGAGAGCGAGACCCTCTTTCTTAGGGTTTACGGCATGAGTTGCAGCAAGATTTATGTCTGTTCCTGTTTAACTGCCTGGATCGCTCCCTTTGATGTGCACAGGTCCTTCCACCCCATGGGAGCTCCTGGTTAAACCCACCCCAGCCTTCCTGGCTGAGGCTTGGTCCCCAGGACTCCTGGCCCTCCTCCTTCCAGGAGTGATGCGAATTTTGCTCTGGGGGGTGGGTTTACAGTAATGTCTTTTGAGGAGGGCCCAGGGTTTTCTTTTTTCTCTCTTTCTTTTTTTTTTCTCACTAGCCTGTGTAAACACAGTCTCTGATCAGCTAGTCCTGTCATGAGTCTGTGGGCTGGCATAGACCCCTCTTGAAAAGGCAAGTGATGGATGTCGGTTGTAGCACTAATCCTGGAAGTGTTTCAGGGCTGGGAGTGAGCTGAAATCCATGTTGTCCATTCTCCTCCCCAGGCTGCCGCTGCCGGGCTGTGCGAAGGCGCTGTGCGGCCCCGGGCGCAGCCCAGGCGGGCAGGGAGGGACGGTGGGCGCTGCAGGAGAACAGAAGGGCCTCGTGGCCATTGAAATTCCCTGCTGCATCTGCTCTGCTCGCCCCGCCGGCAGGCACAGAGAATAGGGACAGTTTTCACCAGGGCCTTCTTTGTTAGGAACTTTGGTCCTCTTCCCCCTTCATTCTTATTTTTTGTTTGGTGCAGTTTTCAGCTGGGTCAGATGATTTAGGGTGTTTTGCCTTGTGAGAGATTGATCTTATGGGAGCACATGGAATCTCCATATGCCTTTTCCCTGTTGAGGTGAAAGGCTTTGCTGTGAGTCATGGGTTAAATGACACAAACTTATCTAAATCTTAATTTAGAGTTTTATGAAACTTTGCAGGAAAAGGCCTGGTATCCTGTAAGGACAGCCTTCTCATGGGGCTTGGTGTCTCCTGGCAATAAGCATTTGATAGACTGTGTCTTCTCAACTTGTTGCTTCATTGTCTTCTGATTCTTCCTACCCTAATGAGGGCGCTTGGCCCAATTCTTCGGGGCAGCCTTGTTCTTTTCAGACTCCTCTTTGTTTGTAAGCTAGATAGCAGACTACAGGGTTATTTTTGAAAATACTTGATATGAGAATTGGCTTTACAGTCTCAAGGTAAAAGATTTGCGTGACTTTGTAAAGCTGCAGCTGGCCGCTGCCTTGAGCTGCTTCTTTCCACGCTCTGGGAAGAGCACTTGGCAGTGCTGGGTCATCCCGTTGTTTCTTTGTTGCTGTTGTTGAGTTTTTGCTGGGTTTGTCTTTTGTGGTGGAGGGAGTGATCTGCAGCTCCCATGCAGTGCCAACCAGCAGGGCAGAGGTAGTGACAGAGGTACAATGAAAGAACAAACCCGGTCCTGATGTCTGGCAGGTCCTTCCCAGCCTTCCCTGTGCTTTGGGACACTGGTACCAGCTAGGCTAGCACAGCATTTACGAGATCTGAGCTATGAAATGAGGCTCTAGGTGGCCTGAAGAGTATTACTAAGGACCTGGCTGGCCTGTTAGTACACCTGCAACTTCAGTGGGATTCCTCATTACCAAAGTCTTGTGGGGTGAACTGGAAGCAGTTTGAGCTCAGGTGACTTCCATTCATTGCAGCTTGATCTGGGGTTTTGTTTTTTGGATACAATCTGAGCAGTTCTGAATGCTCTTAGCAGATTTCTATCTGGGTTTGTAAAAAGGATCCATTACGTCAGTGGGTGACACTGAAACACAACTCCTCCAGGGCTATTTGTTTTAACACCAGAAATGAGGGAATAAGGTACCGGTGCCTTTGCTTTAATTAGGAAAGACTCCAGCAGCCAAGGAGCAGTCCAGTTTGAGTAACTTGAGTCCGGCACCGAACTCGCTCCCCTCTGCGTGTTCCCAGGGCTGCGCCTGCAATCAGTCACCCCAGCCTCCCTCTACCTGCAACAATAGCTGGTTGTGCAGAAGAATTTGTGAAATGACTGCCTGCTCTCTCCAGCCAGGAGGACACGTTATCTCTGCCCAGTTGATCACACTCAGGGTAATGAGAAAATGAGGCTGAGCTTAGCATTGCTGAGTATGAAAGCATCTTATTGGCAGGAGCTGAATGACACTGGCTGAGAAGTAAAAGACAGTAGATTATTGTTTTTGCTTATTATCTGCCATCAACCTCCTGGTCTCCTGCCGTCCCCTGTCCTCAGAATTCGCTGTGGGTGTCTGCACTAGCCAGGAAGCAGTGGGGAGGGGGGGGATGTGCCTGGGGAGGGGAGGGCCTGGATGGTTCCGATGCCCCAGGGAGGCACTGGAGGGTATGCTAATCTGCCGGCGCTTGGAGCTTGGGGAGCGAGGTTTATTTTTGAATTTATTTGTGCTCTTCAGTTTTGCCTGTGTTTACCTACGTGCTGAGTTTATTTATGTTGTAAGCTGTGAGTCAGGATGGAGGTGGGGAAGGCAGTGAGAGGAGCTGGTGGAAGGGCACAGGGGGGCCAAGCTCCGGGGCTCTGAGTCAAGTAAAAGGATGCGGGACGGGAGGGCAGCCAGGCTGGAAAGCTGAACAAAGCACTGAGAGGAGCTGGAGAAACACAGCTTCCTTTTGGGCTGTTGGAGCTGCTGGGCTGATGGGACAATGCTCCAGGCTGCCCTCCCAGCTGCAGCCTGTCCAAGTGTGGGGATGAGCCAAACCTGCCTTTACCACAGGTCTTTGTAAGCTGATTTGTAGGTCTGGATCATCCCCGATGTGATGTAACTTTACAGGAGTTACTGTAAAAATGGGCTATAAAGAAAGAAGTGGTGGCTGAGGAGGAGAGAAGGCTTTGTGGGTGTTTGGCTTGCAGCTGCATTGGTGTTGTCCCAGCTTTTGTGGTGGTGCTGGTGGTGGTGTGAGGCTGATGTAGGCAGGCACTCATCCGTGCTGAGCCCGGCAGAACACGCGGCACCTGGATGGCGGCGCGGGCCCGGCTGCTCCGGCCAGCAGCAGGTTTATAGGGAAGCTGAACAGGCACAATGGAGGCTCAGCCCGCCGAGGGAGGGAGGGAGAGAGGGAGGGAGGCATCGCGGCTTTGTGTGCAGCGCGGCCTGGGGAGAGGGGCAGCACGATCCCTGCGGCCGCAGCCTCCGCAGCCGCCTGGCCTGGGCTCCTCGGGTTAATTTGTGCTATCCTGTCTGCTCTTTTATTGCTTCTTTTTGTCTGCCCTTCATTCTGTGTTTGAAGGGATGAAATGTTTGGGGGTTTGTGTGCTGCTTCTTTTCTGTCTTGTTACTACCCAGATGAACTTTGTAGTTGTAGGAAGAGTGAAGGGTGAGAGCAAAAAAGGCAAAAGAAATCACTTTTAATATGAGGCTGGTGATGCAAGGCACCCAGGGGCTGGCCAAGCGGGAGGGTGCAGCCCAGCCTGTTAATCCCAGCATGTGATGGGCTCTCAGTGCATCTGCCCAGTGCTCAGCTGGAGATGGACCACTGCATGCTGGGACTTGTAGTCTTCCTGGGTTACACCTTACCAAGAGGGAAAGATGTCTGCAGCCAGCTTCATTTTATGAACCTCAGGTAGATTCTTTGAGTTTTTAGCAAGGTGCCACATGGGCAGAGACAGCTGCACACATGAAGGAAACCGTGTGTCTGTAAATAGGCAGGAAAAATGTGTTCACCTGTTCTTCCCCACATCTCTTTCAGATTGACCCGAAGGTAGCATTCCCTCGCCGAGCACAGCCCAAGGTAAGCACTGTGGGCAGCCCTTGTGCCACAAGGAGCAAAATTTGTGGTGGTGAACCTTGTCCTTCTGTGCAAAGTGGCAACGCATGCAACAGAGGTGCTCGCTGGGGTTTGCTCAAGGCCTCACCTGGAGCACAGTGCTGGGAGTTTGCATGGCACTGAAGGAACCAGGAGGCCCCTTGGTTGTACTTCAGGATGCACTAGATAGGGCTGGTGGATTAAATGCTGCCCAGGGTGACCTTAGTCATTCCAAGGTTGCAGACAATGGTTGGAAGTTGCAGGCCCATGGAGATATGGAGCAGCTCCATGCTGTGATGTGACACAGGTGGAAGAGTGTTGTGTGTGTGTGTTCACCTGTGTGTGATGAATAGGTGTATGGCAGGGAAGGGGAGAAGGATTTCACTTTGTGAAATGCCCTTGTGTGCTTCAGCACTGGAAAAGGCTAAAGGAGTTTGGTGTTGGATCTTACCTACAAGAGGCTCTGGCATTAAAATGCACAGTGGCAGGAACTTTTTCCAGGTGTGCAGCTAGAAACTTTTAGCTGAGGAGCCAGCAGGATGCTGGGGACTGCCTTTAGACTCTAGGTCTTCCTTTAACTTGGCTCTTGGATGTGGCTTTTAAAGTTTAGAGTCTGTGTTCCAAGTGCTGTTAGGGGTGAAAGAGCTGAGGAGAAGCTGTGCTGAGAAGCAGAGAGGAAAGAGGAGACTGGTGGTAGGAGGGAAGTAAGGGGTTCAGGCACTGAGAACAATTGGTGAGCAGGTATCCCAAGTAACTGGAGCCAGGAAGCACATGGTAGGAATTGGGTTAATTCCATTAAGCAGTTTGGTGACAGAAGGTGCTTTAGTGTTAGAACGGGCTGCTCTCCAAGGCAGGGAATTGCTGCGGATTAGCCCTATGCTCCTTGGGGTAATTAGGACCATGTGTTCCACTGAGAGCAGGGGTGTAGCCAAGCAGCTAAGGGGAGGATGCAGCTGGAGAGCTGGTTCAAAGGATGTCGGTGTGCCTCAGCCTGGCAGCCATGGCCCCTCTCAGGGTAGTTAGTTTTCTTCCTTGTCCCATCAGTATCAGTGACAAGTGGCAGAGGGATCTTGTCTTTACATTTGCAGAGGCAGAAGCATTTTAACTGGGTGTTGACTGGGCTCCATTGAAGTGCCTGGAGAATGGTAGTGAAATGAGGCTTATTCCATTTCAGATTGGAAGGCTGTGCAATTTGTGGGGTGGGAGGGCAAAGCCTGGGGAACCTGCCTGTGATGGCTTCCTGTCACCCTGGGAGCAGAGCAGGCACCTCTGGGGCTGCCTGGGAGAGGCTGGCTGTGCAAAGTGGTAGGGCTGGGGAAGGGACAGCTGTGCCCCACACATTTGGGGTGGTGTCACAGTGCCAAGGGAGTGGTGGCAGGCTGGTGAGGGAGGAGGCTGGTAATTGTCTGACAAGGAGGTGGTGGCTGGGTGCTGGCATGTGTGGTGGGCTCTGTGAAGACAAGAGCATGAATCTGGTGTGGGACAGATCTGCCAGCTGTGTTTGGCCAGAGGGCTTCAAGAAGTTGGAAGCCCTGCAGCAAAGGGAAAAGCACTTCCCAGCAGCAGAGGGGAGTTAGTGGCCTTTTGAGTCTTGTTCTCTGCTCGCTCTGGGTTTATTTGGTGAATTCCTGTCCTTCCCTTTTCCAGATGGTGACCCGAACGAAGAAGATATTTGTGGGTGGTCTGTCTGTGAACACTACTGTGGAGGATGTGAAACAATATTTCGAGCAGTTTGGAAAGGTAAGTCTCTTGAGTGATGTTGGATCAAAGCTGTTGCTTCTGGGGCAAAAGGAGTTTTCTGAACTTTTGTGGGGGCGGGATTAGAAGCTTGAGTCTTTTGCAAGGGTTAAGTAGATTAAAGGTCAGTTACAGATGCTGGCTGGCTGTAATGTCCTTGTAGGGGCTACAGCCAGTGACTCCTGCCCTGTGGTGATTTGAAACAGAGTTTATCCTTGTTCCCAGAGTTGCTAGGACCTCAGCTATGGGAAATTTTTCCTATCCAGAAGCCTCTTGTGGCTCACAGATTTGCAGTTTGTTCAAATGCTGGAGGAAGGTTTGTAGCTCCTAACAGAGTGGCTGCCTTATCAAACCTCTGATTTTGGCCTGTTTCTAACTCAAAACCTTGTGATTTATTTTTCATTAATCCTGTATTAAAAATAAGTCTTTTGGTCCTGAAACTTCTGCTGAGTCTTGGGCAAGTGGTGGTGTAAGTTTTGTATGGTTGAAGAAAGTTTGGCACTAAGGCTGTCCCTTGTGTTGGTCTGGCTCTTCTGTGGCCAGTGGTGGCTCAGGGGAGGGTGGGCTACTGTGGCTGGAAGTCACTTGTGCCATGGTCCATGACAGCCAGGTGTGTGAATTGTGAGACTGAACCAAATCTGAGCATTGAAGGGAGTTCAGTTGTGACCTTTCAGCTGAGGAGGTTGTCAGCATCTCCAGGAGTGCTATCAGCAGGATTAGACTGAAGGATCCCAAGATTTTTAATGGGATTAGGAATTGAAGGGGATCATTGTACCCAAGTGCTGAGTGTGGTCACCTCTGTGGGCAGGACGTTGTCACTGTTTCACTGTTGTTCAGTGGAGTTGTGCATAGATTTGCTCTTTGGGGCAGGAAGTGTTGGATTCTTCAGCTCTTGGAACCTTCCTGCCCAGTTAGGAGGAAAGAACGTGGTTTGGTGGGTGATGACCCAGCCAGAACGTTGCTGATGGAATCATGGTCATGGAGGGAGGTACCATGGAAGCTGCAGTGTGGGGATGAAGGCTTGGTATTAATCTTCTTTTGAAATTTCCTACAAAAGGGTGATGTCATATTAAGGCACACTAATTAGTGAAAGGAAAGGGGGTTTTGTAACCAGATTTGCCATATTGGTGAAACTTTTGGGCAGAAAGTTTGATACAAGTATCTCCTCAGAACTTTGCTTCTGAAGACAAATTTGCATGTCCTGGTGTGCAAAGTGGGACTCTGTTCACTTCTAAGAGAAAGTGGTCGGATATCCTCGTGTTTGCCAGTTGGTAGCTCTGTGTGCTTTCATTTTCTATAAGAAATAGGCAAACTCTGTTGTGTCCCCAAGAGCTTTTACATGGTATCCTCAAGGGTGCCACCACTAAAGGTGGTGGTGTTCATGTGTCTGTGCAGTCTGAAGGCTGTTGGACTTGCAAGTTCTCCTGTGCTGCTGATGGATGTGTTTGATAGGAAAACAAATTGTCTTTGGCATAATCCCCTTTTAACCTTGACTGTATCCCTGCTAATTCAAAGAAGCATGTCACAGGGCACTCAGTCTACAGGCAGTTACAGTTGCTCTAGTCTGAGCAGTCCTTTCCAGCTCTTTTGGGGTGCTGTTATGTTTCTCCTGTTTAATGGTTGTGTGCTGAGAGGTGTTCTGATGTCAGGCAAGGACTGGTTGTGTGAGCCGGTTTTCTGGAGTGGGCAGGAGGGAGAGTTCTGCACAGTGATTCACTTCTGAAGAACCAGTGTCCTGGACAACATCCAGAGCTTCAAGTCTGTGTGGGGCTGGAGCAGTTGCCCCCTTGGCTCTGGGGAGGTTCCATGGGGAGATGTTAGTGTTGGTCAGATTGACTTGCTGTTTTCAGGGCAATTTTCAGACTCATCTGTGCACTTCAGATGAGAGACTCTTCAGAGCTCTTGTGTAAAGCATCATTCCTGGCCTGTAACCATCTTCCAGACTAAGCCTCAAATAATTCACCCATGGCCAGGAGAATTGTTTCCTGAGAGATTCTCTATAGTAGAGAGCTTGGATGGGCAGGATCGATAGGAAAGTGCATTTCAGAGGAAAGCCTTGTGGCCTTCACCTCTGGAGTTCTGAGCTCTGAATGTGCTGTTGTATGGTTTGTAGGGTTAAGCCTGTTGCCTTCAGTTTCAGCTGTTGCTCGTGGAAAACATGATTTTGATGCACAGTCTCTTTTGGTGGCTCATTATGATGTGCTGGGCCTCCCAGATTTCAGAGGTCTCCTGGAATCCCATCTTTATGGGTGTCCCAGATGTCATGAGTGGTCTTCATCTCTTTGATTTATGGCATCTTTAAGTGAGAGGTGCTGGAGCTCCAGTCATGGTATCCTCATCTCAAAATGTTTTTTCCTTAAGACTTCCCAAGTAATATGGGTCCAGTACTGCTTCTGGAATTGTATCAGGACTGTGTGAAAAGCAACTGTTAAGGATGCTCTTTGAAAGCATTTCTTTAGAGGACCTACCCTATTAGGAAAGAGCTTTGTAACTATTCCCTTCTCTTTGAAGTGGCCCCACAGTCACCTAGGACATGGCAGGACAAAAATTGCTCCTCTTTTCTCCTGCCTGTCCAAGGAAGGCATGGGAACACTTAGGATCTAGAGAGGAGAGAGCTGAGAGCACCAGCATCCTGTCTTGATTGCTCAAGGTGCCAGGGTCCCAGGGGTGATTTTTAGTAATTGTTGAGAATCCAGTGGCAAACTTAGTTTGGATGTTGGCTTTAGGGGGAGATCATGCTCTGCTTCTGAGGACAGGGGAGTCCAGGCTGCTGGATGGCTTTTGCATGAAGGTTTCTATGTCACCCTCAGGCCACAAGCCTGAGTGTGTCTCAGATTTGCCACCATTTAAGATCTTTAAATTAGAATAGATGCTTTTGAAAAATACATTTTAGCCCAGACAGAAAGCATGTACATGCTGAAGGAATTACAAGAGGAAGTGCTATGGCCTGCAGAACAGATGAGGTCAAATTAGATTATCATAATGTTCTCTCCAGTTCAAATCCGTGAACTGCAGCTCACAAGCCTACCAAGGTGGTTGGTGTCAGTGCATCTCAGGTCAGATGCAGCACACCTCCTACGTCCATTAGCAGGAAAAAAATGGAACTTTAGTTGGGCTGCAAAGGAAATGGTTTTCTATTTCATTAGACAAAAGTCCCAGATGTGATTTTTCCATTTTGGCATTTCTGCTTATTCTCTTATTTTTGTTTTGTTTTGTTTTCTTTCCTTGCTGTGTCCAAAACCTTCTCTCACCTTTGTAAAATGGAAGTGGCAAAAAAAAGGTGAAAATGTGTGAAAAGGAAATCCGTGAGTATTACTTAGAGATAAAGCAAGAGAGGGAGAGACTGGCACCCTAGTTCTTCATATCAAAATACTTGGTTTTAACAGGCACAAAAGGTGAAGCTTCAAAGAGGATCCCAAATACACTGTGTCTCTGCTTCAAAGAGGAATCACTTTGGGGTTTTTTCCCTTCCAAAACTCTGACTAAAATATATGGGCTGCTGTTTTCCTGAGAAAGAAAATACAAAAGTGGGTTGGTTTTTTTGGTTTTTTTTTTAGTACAGAGAGAGAGAGACTGAAAAGTGATCTCAAGCTGGCTGTGGTTTGTCAGGTGCAGCTGCGAGGGCTTTGAGCATAGCAGGATCTCTAGGAAACACCTCTCTGGTTCCAAAACTTGAATCTCTCTGAGATCCAAGCTCAGGCCATGCACATGCTTTCTAAAGGAGATTATTTTTTCAACTGTAGGACAGAAGTCCTGGAAAGACTTTCATTCACAGTATGTGTAGCCAAGTACTTTGGCTTAAGTTGGATGGTGTTGAAGATCATTAGACAGCAAAAGGAATTATTTCAACAGCTTCTCTAGATTCAGGCTACCACCCTCACTGAAACCTGAAAGAGAAAGAGAGGAGGAAGGTGTTTGCAGCTACCACCTCAGGCACAGCTAGTCTTCTGTCTAGTTCAACATGTATGAGAATGCCAGAGGAGCTCAAGTTGCAGCTTCCTCCTTTGCTACTTCAACCTGTGGGGACATGTTGTTCTGTATTATTTTTGGGGAGGAAAAGGAGTTGTCCATCAGAGTAATTTCTTTGGACTGTTGGGTCTTTGATCTTGTAAGCAAGGTTATTTGTTTCAAATCAAAACTGAAAAAACTCAGATCATCTTTCTAATGCAAGAGTTGTTCTGATGAAGTTTTGTGGTAGAGAAGGTTATATAAATTGCAAGATAGGAGGAGGCTTAGAACAAATAAAGTCATTTTATCATGGAGCATATCTAAACTATGAAATCTTTGCTGCGGGAAGTTGTTGCTAAAATTTACATAGGCTCCAAAATGATTGGGCAAATTCATGGAAGGTCTTTTAACATACACAGACACCCTTTTGAATTCAGAAAATCTCCAAATCACAAATAGCTTGGATGGGGATGTTGTGTTCTGGGCTCTGTGGTAATATCCTTGCCTTATCTTTATGTTCTTCCAAAATTGTCTGTTGGTTGATATCTTGGGAGGTTTTGGGCAAGGCAGAGCTCTGCTCTAACTTGATGCAGCTGGTCTTTTGTTTGTCATCAGGAGAGAAGCTGATGTTAACAGAAACTGGAAGTGCAGAGGTCCTGGAAGAAATGGGGGCCTGCACCTGAATCAGGTTTTTGAACTCATGGTTTTGTAATGTGCTTTTACATTTGGTGAAGCAGCAGTGCAGGAAATACATTCCCCGTGACGTCTTTGCATGACTCACTAATCAGTTGCAGCACCAAGGGTGCTTGGAAAGTGCTTAAAACCAGTCTGCATCTCTCACTGGGCCTGAGGTAATTGTGTGTGGATGAGTCGGCCATGAAAGCTCAGCCTCTGTGAGGCAGCTCTTGCCCAGAGAGAGATCTCCTCTCTAAAAATACCCTGGAAGCAAACAAGAAAAAAGATCTGGGGTCTGAGGAGGGTTCTGACCTTTAGGCTGCCATCTAATACTCCATCCAAATTCTGGACCTGAGAGGTCCTGAGATCTCTCTGGGGTG